ATAAAATTAAAAAAAACTCTCTGTTACCATGTGGACCATTACATTTGTTATAATATCTCTTAATTTTATAGTTGTATATTTTTTTTTTTTGAAGGAGAAGATGCAATTTTTATTTTTATTAGTAAATTTTATATATTAATATATATTTTTTTTAAAAAAATAAATGTGCACACAATATGTGTAACGTGATACACCCTGATTGAAATTTAAACACTGCTCATGTGATATTTTTCCCACATTTTTGTATCACTTGAGAGTGAAAAAACTTGGAGGTTATCCATTTCCGCTAATTCCTGTTAAACCCCATTTGATTGACTTGACTAGCAAAGGTTCACCCATGCTGTCCATTATATATTGGTATGCTATCAATTATATTTTCATCACAATCCTCTGTCCATTTTCCTTTAGTCAAGATTGTTCTAATCAACAAAGTATCACTGACATAATTGATTAAGAAATTGTTGTGCTAGTCTGGTTCTGTTTGTGTCCTTAAAGTGGAAATTGTGAATGGCAAAATGAAAATTATGGAAATTTAAAATTTAAACAAAAATTTTTTTGATTACAGTTTTAAAAGCAAATCATTTATAGTTGAACAATTCTTGACTTGAATTTCCTAAAAAAAAAGTCTAAATGAAATCACTGTTGTTGTCATTGTCATTATTAAAGTATCATGAAACAAAATTCAATTATAACATTTATTGTTTTGTTTGACTTTTAAAAATATTTATTTTGATATTCTTAATATTTTTACTCTTGATCATATATTTCAGACAGACTACACAATGATTCTTTTATCTCCAAAAATTCATCAAAATCAATTCCTTTATCACCTTCTTGATATTCTTTTAAATTTTTAAAATCAAGTTTATTTAAAAACTCTTTATATTGATCAAGAAATAACTTTGGTTTGTTAGAAATTGTAAAGTGAGTTAACATTGGAATCTCTTTAACAGTTGGTTTATTCTCATTTGTAGTGGAAGATTTTTGATTTACAATTAAATTTGGATTTTTTGTAGAGTCAATAAATCCGTCAATTGTTATTAAAATACTTGGGAAATGAATTTGGTATTGGATAGGCAATGCTTGTTGAAAATTTGAAATTACTTGGACATTTGATTGATTCGAAACTTTGAAATATTTCATTGATTATATCATTAGAAAATAATTTAGGTTTGTTGGATTCTGTATGAAATATCTCAGGTATTCCTCTTAGTATAATTGATTGTGAGTATAACTTTGACATATTATCCTATAAAATTTGTTTGCTCATGTGAATTTGAAATAATAGTAATAGTAATAATAATAGATTTTAAAAAAAGTTTTACACAGCGCATCTCGATTTAACGAATACCAATTAAAAATCTCGGTTTTACGGATAAAGGTTCCATAATAAACCTTAATAAAACCTTCTCGGTATAGCGGATATCT